GGTTGAACAAAATCCCCATCAATCTATAAATGGGGTGCTGCTTCAGCATGAAGACACCAAGCACCTCTGCACAGCTGAATGGTTGATTAACTGTGACCATACTGGATGAATCAGCTCAAATCTCCGGACTATCAGAGATTCAACCTTACAGAACTATCAACACCAGAAACTTGGTTCAGAATCACAACTAAAGCGGAGGAGTTTTGAGTGAATATCCTCACGGGTCAGAAAAGTTGCTGAAATGATCGATAGCAATTTCATTTTGAAAAGTTGTGGTTTACATCTGACATTTCGATACGGAACTTGAGATATTTCCTGATGAAAATCTACAATGCGGTGAGAAACTCAAGATATCCCGCTATCAGGTAATACAAACTGAGGAGTTTGAAACTTTCCGAAACACCCCCCACACACACTTTCTTCCAATATCTTAATCTCAAATCGAGACATCTTGAGATTCACAAGGGTTTTTTGGGTTTACACCGGTATAACACAGTAGAGAAGGGCATAGTAACGAGCTACTGGTAAACGCCGAGTTTAATGTACGCAGCGACTAGGAAAAACAACACCAAGTTTTTACGCGAAAGGCCTTAGCTCAATGGATAGCGCTGTACCACCCATTTTTAAAGAAACAGCTTAAAAAATAGTCCTTAGTGTGGTATTTAGTTCCTAGATAGCGTCTTATTGCAAAACGATTGATGAATATATCACTTTCATAGAGATACCCGGTTTTAGGTCAGATTTTGTTTGCTCACAAGGCTGACAACAATGACTGAACAATTTTTAATCTTATGAAAACATCGTATTACTAAGCTCCAGTGTCAACACCGCATGAATTTTAATCACCATTCAGGAAGGTAGTCAGTGCAGTGTAGGGCAAGAGTAGGGCAGACATGAAGAGCATGTTAGTTTGGTTACAGATTCGAAAGATAACGTACCCAACCATAATCCCCTCATCACTGATGCTTGTATCCATTTTGGAGTTACCAGCGATCGGCCAAGAGCCACGGCCATATAGGTTTTGGGTGTTCGTAGGAGACGAGTACATACAAGATGTGTGGCATCTTCCGAAGAATCAACCAGTCTACAGTTGGGCATTTGGGAACAAAGCTCCGTCAGTGATAAACGTGTGTCATGATCGATAGCAGTGAACGTGATACGTACAGTTTGATCCACAGACTGATCAGAAGAAGTGAATGTACTTAATCCGTCTTCAGAGATTTTGACCTGAGACGTTACGAAGGCAACCTCCGTTTGTGAAACTTCAGCTGAAGACCCGAGTTCCGATATATTCTCTTCTTTTGGGATGATAGGAACTACAGAAGCCTCGACGGTGTGAGGCTGGGCGGAAATTTGGTGATCTTCGATTATACCGACATCTTCATTGGATTCGCCAGTGACCGTTGTCGCTATTCGTTTTGCGGTGGAATCGCAAGGATCTCCGCTGGCACAGCGCTTGCGACTAGTTATCTCCTCTAATGGTGCTTTCTCCTCGACAGAATGGTCAACAAAAACCGGCGAATCAGGTTTCTCGGACTCATCCTCCATGGCGTTTCTTGTGATGCCATCACGTTCTGCGTTCGCATGCAAAGCGGTGGCTAAGTCTTCCGAATCGAGATGACCATCTGTTGACACTGCTACCGGCGTTTCAGCAACCGCTGCAGCACCCTCTTCCTCGGAAACCAGAGCCAGATTGTCTTGAATCCCATGGTCCTGTATAGAGAGCGTGATACGGTCTTTGCAAGTATCCTAAAGAAGATTACGTACGATAGATAGATGGCTCAGTGGAAAATCACTTGAAATTAGTAAGCGACCAAGGTATTTAACGACGGCTTTTCTCAGCTATATACCAGACGAACCTCACTAATGTAATCCGACTGGGCCAGTGGA